GAGAGAAAAATACGACGTACTAAATGAAAAAGTAAAATACTGTATGGCAGTTGATGAGAGAAAAAACATTTTTTCAAAAGAAGATGAACAAAGAGGTGACACCCCAATTGAAAAATTAAACGTTGGGTATATTCATCAGAAACCTACTATGGCATTCAAAATTATCTGCGTCAGTGATGTGCACCCCTGAAGGTTTTAGAGCACCTATGAGTGTGAAACGAAAGCATTGTTGTTGGGCTGCGATCTGTGGTCCTCTCTCTGCATTGTTCTAGGTGATGTCTTCCTCAGTGTATGCGTGGATTGTTCATTCTGCACGATCTTAGCTGCGCTACGTTCTTGTCTCCCTTTTTCTCTTGGTCAATAAAATTCATACGGAAAGCTCGTGTTACATTAATCCCGTGATCCACCTACCTGCGATCTGAGTAACGGCAGGGAGTAAACCAGGTGGTAATACTGCGTGCCTGCATTCATCCTTTTAACCGCGTTCTCTTGAGTACGTAGACAATCGAACATTGATATGTTCTGCGATAAAGAAACTTGGGTCATTACAGTCAGGCATGCGTGTGAAGGAAGAAAAGATCAATAACTCGGCACCGTGCACTCCATTACATCTTCGAACGATATCGATTCCGTTGTCAAGCACGAAGAAAAATTATGCTGAATTACCGAGGGAGAAAAGACCTGCTTCAAGAACTAATTAATCGTCATTAGTATGAACAATAAAACTGAGGCATAACGTTCGAAAATAAATCCATGAATTAGATGTGATGTATGAAAAAGGCTTTTCCAATTTAAGCGCAGCAGTTCTATTTTTGAACTGCACATAAACTTTTTCGACGATTTTTTATAGATTTCGATTTGAAAGCGTTTAGATTTTCAAATGTGTCAAATTAAAATATTTTATTGAATTGACATCCATCGAGGTTGAAGCACAGAAAAAGAATAATATAATCAATTATGCTAGCTCAAATCTGTCATTTTATTAATCGTCTACGAATAGGATTTATTCATAACTATTCTTTGGTAATTCATAGTTCAGGCCAGATCCATGCTGTATTAGACTTGATAGAGAATGTGTTGGTGCGATTAGATGATCGATTTATTATCCGAGCATTGCTTACAGTCACTGTATTGTTATGCTGATCGTAAACTGCAAGTTTTTACGATCACTGCTTACGATGGTGGTAATATGTCAGAATCCGACTCGGATTAAGTCACAAAAAAGATATTTGAACGCGAGTCCGATCGGATCACCAATCTAAAAATTTTGCAGACACACAAGGCATTTACAATGTTTTCTCATTTTACAATTCTATCGAAAGTGCGAGAAACATGGTAGAATAAGAAATATGTATCGTTCACCATACCATTTAGTTCGACTGTATTGCTTTTCTTTATTGATATGGGACAACAGTGCATAGCTGATGTGCTGTCTGGAAAATGGTGGTTTAGCGGTCTCATGATGTATTCATGAGAGAAGGAAGACAAATAAGCAAAAATTGTATCATATAATTTTGCCGTGTTAACTGTGCAATAGTAGTGACCATAAAGAACGAAGAAAAGTTTAGGGCATATTCTTTGTTTCCAACTACGAAATGAGAGGGAGAAAAACGAGAAGTCAGAGATTTACTTTCTCAAGAAAAAGAGAAAGTTCAATAACATAAAAAATGATCGCTAAAATTAGAGATTAATTGGTTTTTGTACAATTTGAGTGAGTTCGAATGAATTATCAAAAATATGTTTGCATAGAAGAGCGACCACAGGATTTTATTTTCTTTGAGATTGATTGGATTTATTTAAATCATCGAATCTATCTGGGTATATCTATTAATAATATATAATACATTTTACCTGTACCAAAGCAGAATTATAATTCTAAAGAGTCAGCTTTCATTATCAGCTGATCCCACACCCTAAGTGGTGTTCTCGCTCTCACCCTTAGATAGATACCCTCCCTCAATCTAACTCCTTCCATTTTATGATAAGATGTGCAACAGAATTCATAGAAAAATCCTGAATGCTGTTAGCGTAGGACCAGTTCACAAGAGGAACACTTGATCTCGAATCGAGTCGGGTCACAAAAACCTTTTTGATCTCGGATCGGATAAGGTCACGCAAACTTGATCCATGTCAGATATTGCATGCACCGTAAAGCATCGCTTGTGGTTGCAGTAAATGGCCACTGTAATTGGGAGTGCACCCACATCCACACGCACATCCATACCTAGGGCGTAGGTGTGGGTGTGGGTGTGGGCGCGGGCGCGGGTGTGGGTGTGGGTGGGGGTGCGGGTCCGGGGGCAGGCCGGGGCGCTCCGCGGGCGGCTGGCGTGCTCCGCGCCTCTGGCGACCGGTC